CCGTTGAGTATAATATTTTTGGTTTTGGTATAGGGTATCAGAACAACCACAAGTAGTTTTTAAGGAATAAAAAAAAATAGAAATTGATTTTTATCTAGTTAAAATCAAAGTTTTGTCTATATTATTTTTCTGCAAATATAATTTTTGAGTGGGGGGTTCACTTTGGGAGGAAATGAAAAAATTTGTGCGGATAGATGTGCGTGTGCAGCAATTTACGGGTTTAGAAGAGGTGTAATGCCTTTAGTTTTTTTTTTTTCCCATAATTTATTGTTTTTTTTTCCCCACATTTTTTCATATTCTCATTTGCTTCTCTCTCCTACACGGCCTTCAAAAACTCATAAAAATTTATAAGTATTGGAGTTGCTCTCAGCTTTACAAGTTACAACTGATTCCCATGTGGTTGTCAAATAGATCAAAGGTTGGATTAATCTTGTAATCAAGTTAGTAATTTATTACAAGCCTACTATGCAGAATTTTAATGAAGTGTATATTAACCATATATATAGAAACTAGAATATGGTTGTTGACTTCAAAAAAATAAAAATAAAATGTGTGTGTGTTTTGATTTCTTGGTAAATCTTACAATCTAGCACGAGTATGATATGAAGACCATTGAGTTAATTCCCCTGTAGTCCCACTTCACGATATTACGGAGCATGAAAGAGTTGGCGTTTGTTGGGTTTGACAAATTTCGATCAATCACAATTAGTGGTTTAAATTTTGCTTTGGGTGTTGCCCTTCTTCTTTATTTTTAAACAAATATTTTAATACTTAATCAAACTGGTTAGATTTGTGTGAGATGTGTAATAATTTTTAATGAAAAATGTAATGTGTTTTTCTACATAAACCACTATTTTATTTTCACTATTTTTAATAGAAAAAATAATATATTTTAGTAAAAATGTAATAGTTGTTGATGAAAATACAATTTATATTTTGATTTTAAAATGTTTCATATTTGAGATCTGTCCCACTTGAGTTTTTAGGAAATCACTTTTACAATTTAATTTTATGTGTTTTGCATGGACTAAGAGTGTAGGTTACAGGGATCTCTAATATTTTATAAAAATAATCGCAAATAATAATTTTTAAGATAAGTTATATCATATTAATATAAAATATTATGTAACAGATTTTGGTTCAAATGAGAACAGGTCTTCCCGTGCGGTTGGTGCGATTTATACCATTAAGTATGCATAAATACACCACACAGTGTTTGAAAATGCACCAGAATGAAATGCCACAAAATGCACCGCACATTAAAAAAATGCACCATACATAATGATGTATTTTCGAACATTGTGTGGTACATTTATGCATACCTAATGATGTAAATTGCATCGACCGTACGGAAAGACATGTACCAAGGAACCTGACTCTAATGTAACATAATAAAAATGGCAATTATAATATGCAATCATAAGTTTACAAAAATTGGTCAAATTGTGATAATTCGTCCAACTCTATTTCGTTGTCTTCACCAAATTGAAAACAAGAGACAAGAGACGACTCAAAAGTCTTCCAAATTGGTAGGTAAGTAGTAACCTAAACCTACTATTGAGAGATGTCAAATTGGAATTTCATTCTCAATCTTAATTTACCAAAATTTATAGTAGAAAAAATAAATCATATGATAACCATGTCTTAGGTGAGAACATATGAAGTAATGCATAATTACACACAATCTATTAAATAAATGCACACAATTTACTCTTAGACATGCTTGGATGATAGTGGAGACTCTTGAAGTAGTTGTGTGTACATTTGTATAGTAAATTTTGTACACTCATACAGTTTTCATTATATATATATATATATATATATATATATATATATATATATATATATATATATAAATATAAATATAATTACATTCATGTAAAAAACACTTCTTAAAATGCAAACATGTGGACATGTTTGGGCCGTTGGATGGTTTGATCGGACGGTCTTGATGATAGCCTGTGGCTAATGAGTTTTTACGTTATATTCAGTTGTTTTTATGAGAAGGGGGGTCTCTTTGGTATTGTTGTAATCTAGTCAAACTACTCCACATTCACGCGCACGGTTTGGTTTCCTCGTCTCTCCGCGTCGCTCTCTCTCTCCGTGCGATGGAATCATCCGTGAGTCGCGCCTTCTTCACACCTTCATCACATATATATAATCACTTCAATAAAGTAAAAATAAAAATATTACATACTCCATATAAATTATATTAATGTTAAATAAATTATAATTATATTTCAAACTAACACATTTACATTAATAAATATAAATTTACATATCATTCAATTGAAATAAACCTCCATTTCTAAATTTCAACATTCAGTAATTCAGATTATCAGTCTAGCCTATTAAAGTTCGAGCTAGTCCTATTAAACCATCGGACTTATCTATTTCAGACATATCAGACCAATAATTTTTATCGAGTTAGTCCGTTCAGATCATTGACCGCAAATTATGCTGTGCAACCGAATGCACCTTGCAAGGTGCATACGGTTGCAAAACGGCGCCGTTTTGGTTAAAAAAACGCGCGTCCCACTTAAAGAAGAAATCAGGTTCGATTCCCGGCAATAGCATTTTTATATATCCAGAAATTCATAACTATATAACCACAATTTTATAACTATATATCCACAATTTCATAACTATATATCCACAATGAATGAATGAAGTAAAAATCCACAATGAATGAATGAATGAAGTAAAAATCCACAATGAATGAACTAAATATCCACAATATATGATTGAACTAAATATCCACAATGAATGAACTAAATATCCATAAATTCATAACTATATATCCACAATTTCATAACTATATATCCACAGTGAATGAATGAAGTAAAAATCCACAATGAATGAATGAATGAAGTAAAAATCCACAATGAATGAACTAAATATCCACAATATATGATTGAACTAAATATCCACAATGAATGAACTAAATATCCATAAATTCATAACTATATAACCACAATTTCATAACTATATATCCACAATTTCATAATTATATATCCACAATAATGCTATTGCTGAGAATCGAACCTGATTTTTTTTTTTAAAAAGTGGGACGTGCATTTTTAATCAAAACGACGTCGTTTTGAACCGTATGCACCATGCGCATGGTACATTCGGTTGCACAGCATAACTATTGATCATTTACCTGTTGGTTTTTATTTTATCGAGTCAGCCTGTCAAGTTGGGGCAAATATTGACATTCCTAATAAACCCTAGACTATGATATAATTTGCCATCTGGTGTCTGATTGGGCTTCAAACCTTCGCATGCCACGAACCTAAAGCCCCTCAAATATTTAATCTTCTTAACTGTTATTTGGTCTGTTTTCAAAAAAAAAAAAAAAAAAAACAAAACAAAACAAAAAACAAAAAACAAAAAAAAAACAAAAAAAAAAAAAAAAAACAAACAAAACAAAACAATCGTTATACCCTACACCACGGCGCACATAGCACTGTGCGCCGCGCGCCTCCCAAAACGACGTCGTTTTGGGAGGCGCGGTAGGAAGTTGCTGGGATTATGTGTATTTGTTCACACAGTTATGTGTATTTGTTCATACAGTTATGTGTATTGGTTCATACAGTTATGTACATTTTTTATACAATTATGTACATCCGAATCAGAAAATTTGTGTGTATTATGTTAATAGTTGATGTGTATTATGTTAAAAGTTTATGTTTATTATGTATTATGTTAGATTATGTGTATTATCTTTTAAAAAGAGTATGTATATTTTGTTATATAATTATGTACATTCATGTATACAATTATGTGTATTCTAGTATAACATTATGTACATTCTTGAACAGCGGGTTTTTTTTTTTTAAAGAAAAAACTAGTGCCATTCACTGGGACGAGAAATTTCAAAAAAAAAAAAAAAATTAAAACGACGACGTTTTGCATTTGGGCGCATAGTGCAACGCGCGCCGTGGTGTAGGATATAAATTGCCCAAACAAAAACTGTGATTTGGCCCATTTATAAGTCCATTTATTCTAATCGTTATACCCTGCACCACAGCGCACTGTGCGACTCGCGCCTTCCAAAACGGCATCGTTTTGGTAAGTTATATAGGGAGTTGACGTGATTATGTGTATTTTTTATACAATTATGTGTATTTTTTATACAATTATGTACATCCGAATCAGGAAATTAAAAAAAAAAATATGTGTATTTTGTTATATAATTATGTACATTCATGTATACAATTATGTGTATTCTAGTATAAAATTATGTACATTTTTTTAACATGAGATTTTTTTAAAAGAAAATTAACCGCCAATACAGAGCAGCGAAATTTCAAAAAAAAAAAAAAAAAATCTAAAACGACGTCGTTTTGCATCAGGGTGCACAATACAACGCGCGGCCTGGTGCACGATATAAATTGTCTTTATTCGTGCTTACAAGTGATGAAGTGAATATTACTACTTTTAGCTCCACAGCACAGCAAAAACAAAACAAAGTAGGTAACGTGACAAGGACTAAATATGAATTTTATCCCTTTTCAAACAAAAAAATGAATTAATCAAAATTAAACTCAAATTATTTCTTTTATGTAGAAGGTCATAAGATCGAGTGTCAGTGGAGGCGTTGTTGACTCTTTGTACTTCAATAGGTTGAGAAAGTATGTTTGAACAGACACTACAAATATAGTAGAGTCAGTAGCATTCAAAAAAAAAAAAAGTCAAAATTATTTCTTTTCAAAAAAAAAAATCAAATTATTTGTTGAAAAAATAAATCGAGAAATTGTATTATATTCGAGCACTGAATTATGATATTATTACTTATTTCTTGAAAATTAAATGTTTAATGCAAAAATACGCAATTACATTAAAAAATGTGAGTTTAAGTGACAAAGTTGATTTTAGTTGGAGGGTAAATAGTCCACTTTGCGTTAAGCAAGCGAAACAAAAGAAAACAATTGAGGTATGACATGGTAATCACAAAATTACAAATTTCATTATTCTTAAACTATTAGTAATCATAGCTGATTATAATTTTTATTAATCAATTTTATAGAATAACACAATTGCACTGCAACTAATAATCGAATGAATATAATACATATTACATACACATATAATCACTAAATCACAGTTAAACAATCTGCCAAGGTTCGATTCTTTGTTCAAAGTTCAAACCACCGGGATACCACGTGGTCGAACTCTTGCTCCGATTACCTTCTTCTTCATCGTTCCTATCTCCATCTTCTCCTTACGAACTGTGTTTCCAGATTGCATGATTAAGTTCGCGTTTACACCGTTAGAATTCATGTCTTTGAACACACTTCCTTGTACTAGTATCCTCGTAATCCCCGAAAAATGCAACGATTCTGCAATTTGTAACGCGGTGACGCCTTTGTTGGTCCTGGAATCTATGTCGGCCCCCTTCTTCACCAGCAACTCCGTCGCGTCGGCGTGCCCGCACTCCACGGCGCAGTGCAGCGCCGTGTAGCCTTCCTCGTCTCTGCAGTTGACGTCCACTCCGTTGTCGATTAGTGCCCTCGCCGCCTCGATCCGGCCCTTGAATGCCGCTCGGTGGAGAGCGGTCCAGCCGTTCTGGTCCCGCCCGTTCACGTTGGCTCCGTGGTGGAGCAGCTTTTGGATGGCGCCGACGTCTCCGTTTCTGGCGGCCGCGCATAGGTTGTCGCCGAGACGGAGGGCGTCGAAGAGGCGGTTGTGGCCGTTCTCCGCCGCGACGTCGTAGGATGTCTTCCCGTACTTGTTTCTGGTGTTCTTCTCGGCTCCGTTTTGGAGTAAGAGCCTCACCGTGGGCTCGTCCCCGTTTCCCGCGGCTATGTGCAGGGGAGTGTTGCCGTCCCGCGAATTTCGGAGGTTTGTTACTGCGCCGCTGGCTAACAAGAGGCGCGTGCAGTCCCTTCGCCGGTCCCCCACCGCGAGGTGCAAGGCGGTGTCGCCGTCTTTTGTGAGTGCATTCACGTTTGCGCCTTTTAGTAAAAGGAGGCGTAAAACCTCAATGTGGCCGTTCCCGGCGGCGTGATGAACCGGGCCTAAAACCGACGGTTGCGATCTCTCCGTGCTGGCCCGGTTCGCCAGTAAGATCTCCACGATTAACGACTCCCCCGAAGCCGCCGCCGCCTCAAGCGGGCTCGATCCCAACGGCCTACTCGGAGCCTCCAAATCCGGCCCGAATTCCAGCAGTAATTGCACGAGATCCGGCCGGCGTTGCGCGATAGCCAAGTGAAGCAGCGTCTGGCCGTCGCCATCCACCGCGTCCGCCGCCTTCCACGACGGATCACTCTTCTCCAACACCTCTCGAATCTCATCCATGCGGCCATTCGACACGACCGCCGCCAAAACAGGGGAGCCGACAAACATGATCTTCACCCCACTGTCAATGAAAACCTGTTTCTTCTTAGTGGTAAACCAATCATTCGGAACAGACGACTCCGAGGCTGTCTTGGCGTCCTTCACCGCCGCCCCCGGGGCGACGACACTGTGCAGGAGAAACGAGTCGTCGGAATGGGGAAAAGTTTCCGGCAACAGAGTTCCGGGAGGGGGATGATAAACGATCTCAAGGGTAACAGCGTTAAGAGGAGATATGATCCCCGACTGGGGCCGGACGGTGTACCGGCTCTTGTTCGCCGGCTGAAGGCGGAACGCCACCGGCATGGTATACATAACATTTCTTAATGTTACCTCGCCGTAACACTTGATTCCTGCCTCAATTCTCACTATCACAACATTTGATGGTTCTAAACCTATTAGCCTATCCATCTTTGCTTTCTTCTTTCACATTCTTCCACTCTTTCTTTCATAGGTTTTGAACAGAAATACAGAATGTAAAGAAAGAGCAGAGTAGTATTTAGTGAAAGGGTTGTACGGTGGAGGAATGAAGAGTGGAGTATATATGTAAAGGGAATGGCCGGCTTTCAACAAGAGAGCTCCACTTGGGTTTTGGAGGGAAGGTTAATGACATTGTCTTGTGGGTATCTAAACCCCAACCCCAAGGGGGCAATAGTTATGCTGTGCAACCGAATGCACCATGCGCATGGTGCATACGATGCAAAACGATGTCATTTTGACTAAAAACGTGCGTCCCACTTAAAAAAAAATCAGATTCGAGTCTGGCAATAGTATTATTGTGAATATATAGTTATGAATTTCTGGATATATAGTTATGAATTTATGGATATTTAGTTCATTCATTGTGGATATTTAGTTCATTCATTGTAGATATTTACTTCATTCATTCACTGTGGATATATAGTTATGAATTTATGGATATTTAGTTCATTCATTGTGAATTTTTACTTCATTTATTTACTGTGGATATATAGTTATGAATTTGTGGAAATATAGTTATGAATTTATGGATATATAGTTATGAATTTATGGATATATAAAAATACTATTGCCGGGAATCGAACCTGATTTCTTTTTTTAAGTGGGACGCACATTTTTTAACCAAAACGACGTCGTTTTGCATCGTATGCACCATGCGCATGGTGCATTTGGTTGCACAGCATAATTTGCGCCAAGGGGGATAAACGTTTTTTTTTTTTTTCTTGTAACAAAATGTGGAATCGTCGTCACTCCCGCTTTCATACTCAGCATGAACCCGTCACTAGGCCCAGTGTTAAAATTCACACCCTTCTATGCACAAATAGTCCGATCATAATCCCAAGCTAGGAAACCCAATTGCTTATAGTAGGGTTCAAACTCCTACCCGATCGTTGAAAATGGGTCTGAAGTGAAACACTCCACCCACTAAACATTAATTTGGAAGCCAAAAAATTAAAAAATTTTTAAAAAAAAAAAACTTGAGTAGATCAAATATGTTAGACATTTACTACTATACCAACAAGGTATAACTAATTGTAAATATTTAACTTTATTTATTTATATTTGCGTAACAATTAATGCCATGTTTCAATAAATTAGTGCAACACTCGAAGTTAAAGTCCACAATTCAATTTTTTGTGTTTTAGTAGTTTTGCAGTCTCAAAACTTACAAATGTTACTAGGTTGTTGCAAACTTGCAATTTTAGTCCATTAAGTAAAACATCTATCAAAGTCCATTAGGATTTCTACATATAGTTGTTTCAAGAAGCCATTCATCTACCCCCCTAAATTTTTATTTCATGCTTTTTTTTTTTTTTTGGTACTATTATAATAATGTACTGGTTTATTAGTACAAGTCTTTTATCTTTTCCAATTGCTAGGTATTTTAATATAATTTTTTTTTTTGTTTATTAAAAAGCATATTTACTTATTTACAAATAACATATTTTGATTTATAGGTGGCAATTCTACTATTGTGCCTCACCTAGATGTTATATATACATAGATACATATATATGTGTGTGTATGTGTGTGTGACGGACTAATTTCAAATAATGGATTGGCATAATAATTAAATAATGTTGTTTTGTTGTATATATGTAACCCACAAGTGTAATTTGGTCTAACCAATGCTCTATATCCTTCTTTCGATAAATCTTATCAAATTTTATCACATGACTTATTTATAACCAAAATTTGTAAGTAAATATCCATTCACATGAGTTTTTGATCACTCACAAATTGATAAATTAAAATTACACTTAATTTCTTATTGAAATGACTAAAAAAGTATATATAGTGTAAAAATTTGTATTTTAATTACATTGTAATTTGTATTGATCCTGTCAAATTCTTGTCATATTCACTACCATTTATCCAATTGGCGAAATGCTTATATACTTCAAAAAAAAAAAAATAAATAAAAAATTATTGTCCTCTAAGATGATACGTTTTATGCTATCAGACAGTTGTAAATTGTACTAATTATTTCCAATAAACAGCTACAAACAACTAATCTTTGTCAATCCCTTTTGTTTAATCCTTCTATATTTTCCCATTTGGCACTACTGCAAGGGTGATGAAATTTCGCCTTATTGGCATCCTCTGGACTCCATTACCAATTCATCACCCTGCCAATCATCAAATTCAAATTTGGAAAAGTTCAACGATCGTAACATTTGAATACGGGAAAATTAAAAACCTACGATTTTATTTTGAAACGCTTCTTGGGATAATGATTTTAAATAAGTTATTATTTTAAACTCTCTAATTATGTTTTATTAAACAGATCTTATATTGGTCCTCCCATACATTACGGGAGGGGCACTATATATACCGGTTTTAAAAATTGATGGACAATATTTACAACACTAATAATTTAGTAGTGATATTAATAATTAGCATATTATAGAGGGACATAAATTATAATTTTCCTAAAAAAAATCAATGCAGGTAATAAATGACACTAATGTTGAGTATAGGTTGAAGTGGTGGGGATAGATATGTTATGTTAAAAATGATTAATGAAAGTAAGCGCTCCACAACATTCTCGAACCGATGAAGTGTACTGAATGAATATAATAGAGTTAATTTCATTTTTGGTCATAGATTTATACTTGACATTTCACTTAATTTTTTTTTTTTTTCAAACCATCATTCTTTAAGTTGATCATAGTATTATTGTGACATGACATTTTTTGTCCTCCATAAACAAAACTGTTTAAATTTTGTAAAATTTAGGGGCATTTAGGTCTTCAATTATGATTTTTTTTTTTTTGCGGGTTAACCCACTTAACTGGCCACTTTGTATAAAAATAATCAAAATGGTCTTGTATTTAAGGATATTTCAATAATTTTGTTGACGAAGGACCAAAAGTGGTCATGCCATAATAATACTATAACAAAAAATAGATGTTCTGAAAAAGAAGGACTAAAAGTGAATTGTCACTTATAAATCTAGGATCAAAATTTGAATTAACTCAATATAATATCACTTCAATGGATGGAGCTGAGTACCGCTCACCTTTCTCTTTCCCTCCACAACATTGTGTTCCCAAGCAATTGGGAGGCATGTGTTTTAGAAAGTTTAGGGGCTTTAATGTTGCACTATTAGGCAAACAAGCTAAGCCTGGAGATCGATTCAATTCCCAGATTTCCTTGTAGCTAGGGTTTATAAAGCCAGATATTACCCCATAACCACTTTCCTTGAAGCAAAGATTGGGGGGAGGGGGGAGGGGGGAATCCCTTCATTATTTGGGGAATGATGAGTCCATTAGGGTCTGGGGTGATCCTTGGTTACCTGGAATTACTTCTCTTTTTATTAAAACTCAAATCAGATTACCACAGAGAAGCAAAGGTGGAAATTAAAACTTACTCAATATGGAAAAGACTGGATGGGATGAGGAAGTGTTGGAGGATCTGTTTGACCAAGAAGTATGAATCTTATTAGAAGAATCTCAATTGCTGAAAACAAATTATTTCAATTCATAGACTAATTTGGATGGAAGAGGAGAGTGGAGACTTTTCAGTTAAGAGCTGCTACTGGCTAATGCAGAATTCATTGCATACTCAACAAATCCCTTAATGGACCATAATAAATGTGGAAAATGAGGATCCCACCTAGAGTTAAATGCTTTCTATGGCAGTTATGTTCAACAACATTGTCATATATGCTCCTGTGATGATGAATCTACTATACATTCCATTTATTTGTCAAATGTTCCTTAGCCAAACAGTGTTGGGATCTTCTTGGAGGTGTGGATTACTGGAGCAGTTCTTCATTTCATGATTGGCTGGAAGTACAGTTTACCTCCATATCTGATGGTCTTCTTTATCTCCTAATTACCACATGTTGGAAACTTTGGGAGGCAAGGAATGAGAAGGTTTGGAATCAGATTGTCACTCCTGCATATGTGATTATTAATGGAGATTGTACCTTTCTAATGAGTGGCAAATGGTGAATAATATAAGGAGGCAGTCAACAAATGCTGCAATTCAAAATGTGTGTTGGTCTAGACCCTTACCGGCTGGAAAAAACTGGATGTGGATGCTGCTAACAAAAAAATGGGCTTTGGTATTGTGTTGAGGGATTCAAATGGAGTTTTCCTTGCGTCCAGGGAGGTACCTGTTGGAAAATATATGCAACATCAACGCGGGGGCTGGCAACTTTTAAGAAACAAGGACAAAACGGACCACAACCACTAACCACAAATATGTAACATAACTAAATATGTGGACTTGGAAATTTGGAGACAAAATATGTTCTTAATTATTTGGACCTCGGAATTTTCCAACAGTACCTTGGTTTGGATTATTCAAGCCAGATGAGGTAGAAGCGATGGGAGTGAATGAAGCTGGCCTTGAAATGGTTGAAGGAGTTGAATGACGAATACGTTGAAGTAGAATGAGACGTTTTGAAGGTTATCACTGGAATCATCAGAAATAGTTTGGTTACATCTTTTGATCTTATTATCAATGATATTAGGAAACTAGCTAGAGATTTTGCTAATCTTGTCTTTTTTGTTTGTCAAACGGTCCGCGAACGAGGTCACCGACTTCCTAACCCGGGAGGTCTTGTCCAAGTTTGGTTGTGTGCTTTTTTGTCCCGTCTCTTGCTCTTGTGTCTGTTTTGGAGCTCGACTCTATTTGATTAATGCAATTATTTCCCATTTTCAAAAAAAAAATGATCTTTTTTTTTTTTTTTGAAGAACCTCCCTAATACCTTAAGGTCCCTTTGGAAATCCGAAAATATTTTTCGTTGACTGAAAAAAATGTAGGCATTTTGAACGGAAAATGATTTGGCGGAAGTCATTTTCCGCCAATCCTCTAAACATGGTTTCCCCCTGTTTCCGACAGAAACCATAAGTATGGTTTCATGGTTTCAGCCGGAAACCACGGCTCTTTTTTTTTTTTTTTTTAATAATAATATTATTTTTAATATTATTATAAATATGTTATATTCTAAATAAAGTATTTAAAATATTTAATTATATAATTTTATCCATTTTTTAGAAAATGAACCAAAATACTAATATAATTTTCTAGAATGCAACCAAACACTTAAAAGGAAAATATTTTTTTTAAAAAAAATGACTCATTTTCTAAAAAATATTTTCCAAAAGTTATTTTTATACTTTTCAAACGGACCTTAAGTTGGCTATATTCGTAGATAAAATTTTAGGCATTAATGTAAAAGGTTTGGAATCCTTAAATATCTTAGCTTGTACAATGTACCGTTAAAGATTGAGATGGTTGGTCGGTGGATCAACATGGTGTTGGTTTCTTGATATCAAGATTATTTATAAATTAATTACTCTATTAATTTTATATTAATTAATTAAAAATATAAAATGGGGCTAAATCGCACACCGTAAAATACTAAAATGTTCAGAATCAAAGTTAAGCATTTTTATTCAACTGATGTTAAAAGGGAACACCGAACACACAAGTATCCATACACGACGTAATAATTACTAAACAATGCAACAAATGCCCACTCGTTTGACTTATTTATTTAATTGTTACTCCGTCAATCTCATCGGAATCCATGCCACTTCGTCACCGGAAACTCACCAACGGCGGTCTAATCGCTGTCGCTGCTGCTTTCATGGTGGTGCCCGTGGCCGTGCTTCTCCTTCTTCTTCTTCTCCTTTTTCTTCTTCTTCTCGTCCTTGTCGTGGTGGTCGCCGCCTCCGCCGTGGATCTTGTCCTTGATCTTCTCCACCAACCCTTCCTTGTGATCCGCCTTGTGTTCGCCGCCGTGGTGCTTCTTCTCCTCCTTGTGTTCGCCGCCGTGGTGGCCTTCGGCCTTGTCGTGGTGCTTCTTCTCCTCCTTGTGGCCTCCGACGTGGAGCTTCTCCTCGATCTTGTGAATAATTCCTGACATTTTTTATTAAACTTTCTTACTATATGATCTGTGTAGTAGAAGTGTGTTTGGATCGAGCCCTGGGAATAAATTTATAGGAAGAACTGAAGAAGATGATGACGCGGAAAAATTATCCGTGTAATCCACCAAATTACTAACTTGTCCTCTTTACGTGGAGTCGTGGACGGTCCGTGTGACTTTAAATATACGGAGTATTTGTTAGTTTACAAACTTCTAAGAAAAATTCATTTAAATATATTTGTTAGTTTTGGGATGTGAGGAGCCAATTGGCAGTTGGTAACCCCAGTAACACGTAAAGGGTATCCTTGATCCAGACTTTTATAAATTGTAAGTTTTGGTCAACGATACTCTTTTTCTTGTTTAAAAATACAAAATTTCTCGGTCCAAAGAGTTCTTAACGCTTAATAAGATTATGGAGGGATAAATTATGACAATTTAATATATTATTAATTGGGATGATCAATATCTGGTGTCTACAAAGAGTTACTCCCACAAAAGAGTAAAACTTCCACATTATAATTTAATTATGTGTCATTATTCACAATCTACCGTTCAAGAACAAACTAACATATATTTACAGACATATACCTTTTTATTGTTATACGAGTATCTATTTGTTGGTTTTATTGATCACTGGGATAGGTAAGCAGCGGACCAACATAACCGAAAAATTAAATAAAAAATAAATAATTGAAAAGAAAAAATAAAGGGACACGATCATTTTTATGTGAAAACCAAAATGTGAAACCTACAGGTCTTTTTGAGCGGTGTCAATCTAAAATTCACTATATTTTGGTGGTTTGGTAAATGTACAATAGGGCATTTCTCAAGAGAGATGTGGGATGAGAAAATTTGGATGTCTGACTCACTAAGGCCTTTTATATTAGAGAAATAAGTAGAATATATGGTAATTGAGAGCTATATGGTAATTTGGTATTTATGGTGAGGTAGGGTAATTAATGAGATTTGGAAAGAGATTTTAAGAAGGAGAAAGATAATTTAGGTTGACTTTGATGGTCCTTCCATAAACTTCTTTATTTCTTTATTGTTGTGGTTAACCACCTGTAATTCATGTGTCATCATCTAGTCCCTCACTCTCCTGTGTCTCGTGAAGCACGACACAAGAAAGTATAATGTAACAATTCATACACCATACTTCATTGTCGACTCCTTTTTTTCAAGGAAACATGAAGGGATTTCATCGCTGAGGAGGCATGAGCCGTGAAGGACTTTCATTGCCAATTCCTTTTTTCTAAAGAGGGCTATATGTTAACCACTTTTTTAAGGGGTCCGTTTCTGTGATTGATCACTAGTTTTAAGGAGTTTGAAAATTGAGAGGCCAAACACTTAAGACCGTCGTCGAGCTTTTAACATTTATCTTTTTTTTTTTTCAAATACTATCTATTAAACCAGTGAGTTAGGTTCATACGTGCATTGCACATAGTATCTTGTCATTATGCTTAGTGTAGGAACCTAACATTGTGCGTCTCTTTTGGACTTTAACTTATTATTGGGAATGGATCATAGCTTCTTGGGTCTTAATCATACTATTTATTTTTATTATGGCCCCATTCTGAATATTTTCTTTTCTTGAAAATATTGCATAGGCCCAACATCTAATTAATATTAACTACTGTATTTTTTTTTTCTCCCTTTACTAGAACTTTCTATGAGAAGGCACAGACTAATTTCATCGATCTGATAATCAATGCTTGAAAAATTAAAAATCGAAAATGCAAGAGCGTTATATTTCTGTAATATAAAATCAGGCTAAATCGCACCAATGGAAATGTTTTGACTTACAGAGTTACAGGTAAGCATTTTTATTTAATCGATGTTAAAAAGAGAAAACATTACACACATGTATCCATACACACGCGTAATAATTACTAAACAACGCAACAAATACACACAACTTTGACTTATTTAATTATTATTTCATAAACTCCGACCATCTCATCAGAAGTAGAACTCCATCGCCGGGAAAGTGCATCAACGGCGGATCTAATCGCTGTCGCTGCTGCTGCTGCTGTCGTGGCCGTGGCCGTGGCCGTGCTCGCCGTGCTTCTTCTTCTCCTTCTTTTTCTTCTTCTTCTCCTCCTTGTCGTGGTGCTCACCTCCTTCGCCGTGGATCTTGTCCTTGATCTTCTCCACCAAACCTTCCTTGTGCTCCTCCTTGTGCTCGCCTTTATGCTCCGCCTTGTGCTCGCCGCCGCATTGCTCCGCCTTGTGTTCGCCGCTGTGGTGGCCTTCCGCCTTGTCGTGGTGCTTCTCCTCCTCCTTGTGGCCTCCGATGTGGAGCTTCTCCTCGATCTTGTGAATAATTCCTGACATTTTTTTATATGATCTTTCTAGCTAGTGTGATCTGTGTAATTGGAGTGTGATTAGGTCGCCCCCCTGCGAATAAATTTATAGGAAGAGAATACGCGGAAAGATGGATGATCTGTGTAGTGGACTAAATTACTAACTTGCCCTCTTTACGTGGACGGTCCGTGTGACTTGGACGCCTTATCCATACAAATTTACAATTTCTAGAGCATCTTAAATAGAGGAAATTTTTTCTTGATCTTTACATGACAATTTAGGAGAGAGGAAAAATGAAAAAAAAAAAATGTAATTACGCGCTTAATTAGTGCGAAAAAAATTAAATTGGGTGTGTGGGAATACTGTTTTTTTTTTTTTTTTTTTTTTTTTTTCTCTATTCGAGTCCTACAAAAAAATTTATTTATTATAAATTTATTAATTTTCTTCTCTTTTATCCCAATCTCTCCTTCATCTCACCATCTCCCTCCTCTATCAAAACAAAATGTTTTTTAAAAAAAATCACTAAAAGTCATACTCTAAGAAAAATATATTTAAATATATTTGGTAATTTTGTGATGACTATGTGAGAAAAAATCATTTAAATATTAGGTCTGTGCCCCGTATAAATTTTTTATTTTTTCTTTTATTTTATTGTAAAAACTATAAAATTTGTACGGATAGTACACAAAGATTAAAAAAAAAAAAGTCTTAATGGGTAAGTTAAAGAGTAGGTTAATAAATACAGATAAATGAGAGTGTGTGATAACTAATCATGAGTGGTTGCTTTCTTAGTGCAAATTTTCTAATACAATCATCATAGTACATGTAGTTCAATGCAATGTTTGTAGTGTTTGATTATTCTAATTATAAAAGATTAGATTGAATCTCTAGTTGATATACAAACCTATAGATAGATATTCGCTTTTTTTTTTTTTTAATGACAAAACCCACATCCATTATCCAATAATGTGCACTGCATCAACCTCACTCCTATGTAGTAGCATAAAAACCATACATGATATATTTAAGAGTTCTAGTGCATATACTCCCCAATCTTACTCTTTAAATTTTACTCCTTAATGTGGCGAATTCTGATAAGTTATTTTTTTCATGTGGGTCTCAATATAAGTATCTACATCAATGTTTTGTGTGTGTAAGTACAAGTTGAGAGTACATGTAGCATTTTCTTATATTTAAATACAATAATTATGTTTCACCTATTTGATCACTATTTTCAAGGTGTGGTATTAAGTTTTATTTAATGAAGAGTAGTGTAATTAAATTTAAATAATAATTATCAGGACTATGTGGTTTAATGGTACCCGGGTTGGACTTTCATTTGAAAGGTTGTAAGTTTAAGCCTCAGTAAAGGTGTTATTAGCTCTTTGTAATTTTTTTTTTCTGATAAAATAGCCTTCATCAAAATTAATATAAAATCGGATTCGTTGATCCAGTTGGAGAGTATCAAATGCTTGCCCTCTCTTTATCAGACAAATGTCATCTACATAGGCATGGAGCCATGTACGGTGCACCGAATCTTTGTTTGCTGAAAATGATGCCTTAGATTTTTAGTACTTAAAAGTTTCCAAAAAAAAAAAAAAAAAAAATTAGTACTTAACGGATCCATTAACTTGCCGTTTGCCGACAGCCTGCGTCGTTAACGGGCCTCTGTATGACAGTATGGGCTTTTAGTAAATAGGTGTTGGTCCATCACACCCAATCTAATTATTACATGCCCAAAACGCTCCCGTTCTGACACTTCTAAGGCAATCATTAATGCATGGTGTGAACTACGGTCTAAAAACACATAAAATACATTATTTTATCATATAATACATTAACTTATTACATATTTTTATTATTCTAACACATAAAATACATCATACATTATTTTAACTCATAAAATACATTATTCTAGCACATAAAGTACATTATTCTGCCAAGTACCTTGTCCTTAGATGACATATAGTGACCTCTCCCATGTGGGAGGTCATGAGATCGAGCCTCAGTGGAGATGTTGTTGACTCTTTGCGCTTATTAGGTTGAGAAAGTATGTTTAAACAGATACTACAATGTAATAGAATCAGTAGCATAAAAAAAAAAAAAAAAACTTTTCCAGAATATACATTAGTTTAACACACGCGTGGAAAATACTTTTTTTTTTTTAACATCAATAAACAGATACTACAATGTAATAGAATCAGTAGCATAAAAAAAAAAAAAAAACTTTTCCAGAATATACATTAGTTTAACACACGCGTGGAAAATACTTTTTTTTTTTTTAACATCAAAACAACATTGATAATTTGCCATTCATTTTTATTGATGTCGTGCAACTGTACACTTCACTTACATAGTTGGTGAAAAATCATTGATCTCAAGGATTCAATGGTCTAAATCTGTCCACACATACTCATATAACACTCATTTAATCACCAGCATACCCTGATTTTTTATCATATATATATATATATATATATATATATATATATATATATATATATATATATATATATATATATAGCTCACAAGCTACTCAAGACAAGTATTCAATACTTGAGTTTGGCATAACTTATCACCCATTAGGACGTACTTGAGTTCAGCTAAAAAATAACATATAATAGAATTTGAAGATTTGTTAAGTTATTTGGATATAATGATTATTTGTCAACTAAAATCACAATGCAAACTTCACTGATAGTATATTTTTAAATAATGACTATGAGTTTTTCATAAATTAAAATTATTTGAATATAATTATTTACGACAAAATTAGTTTTTGAGCCATAAACAAATGTATACATGCTTTAAACAATCATAAAATAATTACGACTATACATTGTATAGTCATAAACATGGTCATTTGTATCTACTATTTGGCCAATTAATATACAAATTTAAGGTGTCGATTATTATGTGCTACATGGCATAAATACACAATGTAATATATATTGTCAATAATGACAAATTGTTGATAGTTGATAGGTGCACTTGTTCTCACACTATTGGAAATTATGAAATTTCCGACCACCTGAAAATGATCTTAAATTAAGTTGATATCAAAAAGTTCAAAAAGTGGTTGGAAATAGCAACAAAGGTTTTTCCGGATATCAAAGTGGTCGGAACAATGCTTTTGACTTGATTTAAAATCACTTTCAGGTGGTCGAAAATTTCATAATTTCCAGTAGTGTCAATACCTTACGTAAATTGAGTTTGCTTGTATCTAATGTAGTTTGATAGACTATGATGATTAATTCATTGATATTTGAAATTTTAAAAATTATGAGCAAAAATAGAAAAATATGCACGTTGTGATCATGTTAAGAGTGTTTGTTGTACAATATTTCTCATACGAAGTCTAATTGAGGTAGTTCAATTACTCATAAAAATTTAAGACAATTTTAATCTCTAATCACTTTTGTGTTTAGAATTTTCATAAATTTTATAAAAAAAAAATCAAGGTAAAAAAAACTCAAACAAATTTTAACGCGTAAAGGGATATAACCTTTTATGTAACATGATGTAAATATTTTGGTCATATATCTTTTATACGGAGTCACATCAAAGTGGTTTTTTTTTTGTTTTTTTTTTGTTTTTTTTTTTTTTTTGAAGCTAAAATATTCATCTATAAGTTTTATGTTCAATGTTTTATGATTAAGATTAAAACAATGAGAAAAACATAGGCAAATTTTTATATACTCAGGGATACGACCGTGTGATGACCATGTCTCCTAGGCAGTGTCACCTCGACACACAAGGAAGCTGGAAAGGTGCCATCTTCAACATGATCATGTCGATGGTTAGAAAGCCTATTTATATTTCTTTTAACCATTTTGGATATTTTTCAACCCCATACTTCAATGGTGTGACCCAAAACACTTTTATGGACTTCAAGCACATTTTAAGAGACAATTTTACATAATGGGAGAGTTTGGAGTTCATTTTTTTTTTTATACTACTGACTCTGTTACAATGTAATATCTGTTTATCACTAATTTCTTAACCTACTGAAGCACAAAGAAACACCGTCTCACCAGGACTCAAATCCATGACCTCTCATTTGAAAGAGTCACTTCAATTTTTTTATCATTTATTTTATTTGTTTCGTTTTTGCTTCAATTTTTAGATGTTAAACTCTTAGTACTTGAACGTATGATGAAACCTATGATAATACCATTTTCTTAATTATTTCTTAACCCAATATAACTGTTTATTGTTTGAATCAATCATGATGTTCATTATTTTTGAATTAATAATTGACGACATATTAAATTCATGTTGGATGCATATATTTGCGTTAGAGATATCATTTGTATCGTTTAGCTAGCTCAAAAAAAAAAAAAGAAAAAGTAATGCAATATTTAAGAATTTTAAGTTAGAAGAGATTTGAGTAATAAACCTAAATATTATTCATAATACCATTGAAAAACAGTTGTTATATTGTGGACCGCAGTGCATAATCAATTATGCACCGCACATCAAAACGGCGTTGTTTCTTTAAGTGAAAAAACGGCGCGTTGTTAGTGTTAACGGAGTGACACTACAGTGTATCTGAACCGACACTGCCTCACTTATTATTTTTATATTATCAAATGAAATCGCAGTTATATCAAAATGATACTGTAGTTGTGGTGAAATGAAACTGCAGTATATATAAAATGAAACTGAATAACATTTCACATATTTGAGTGTATATTGTACAATGAAGCTGTAATTATATCGAAATGATCATGTAGTTGTGTTTTAATGAAACTATAGTGTTTATAAAATAAAATTAAATAACATTTTCACGTATTTGAGTGTATAAATATTGAATGAAACCGTAGTTATATTGAAATGAAACTGTAGTTGTGTTGAACTGAAACTGAAGAACAAAGTTACTTTTTGCGGAAGGGTGCAGAACGGCGAGAAACGAATGCCGTTTCTTTTCATTAAACAAAACGACGTCGTTTTGATGTGCGGTGCATAATCGATTATGCACCGCGGCGCACGATATAATGTGCCATTGAAAAATATATTAGCATAAACATCTTGCAATCTCAATAATATGCAATTGTTTTTGGTATTTATTTATTGTGGTCAATGG